GCTTTTTCCCTCTACGTTTTTATGGCGAATTGCAATCTCTCCCCATAATTTCATCATAATTACAAATTCGTGCAATGTGTTTTTTGAAACTATAAGGTTTAAATACCAATTTAGTCCCTCAACTTTTCACTTTGATACCAAAATTATCCCTAAACTTTCATTTTCAGTACCAAAATAATCATTCCATCAATTAAGTGGACATGTGGCACATTAAAATGCCACAAAATCACTGGCTTTTTTGAATCTTAATGACGTGCAAGTCTAGCAAAGAAAATTGTGCCACCGTGGCATGTTTTTTACACATCAGATTGCTCCCCCTTTTTAGATTAACTTTTTGTGGGGCCCATATGAAAAATTGTTTTCTCTTTCCAGTTTCAGTTAAGTTGTCCAACAGTGGCAGTGTTCTTCATCTTTGTTTTGCTTTTCATTTCCTTTTTTTAGATTCGAAACCCTAAACTTGCAACTTGTTACTCCTAGAAAATCAAAATCGAATTAGGCTTTTTATCACCATTGAATCTGTTGATCGAATCTGTTGATATATCCATTCAATGGATGCTGAACCTGGAACTGAGCATACAAACTGGAAGGTACCAGAAGTTAAACCGAAGTAATAGATCTGGAGTCTATGGAGATCAAGGATAAGGTATGTTATGTTTCTTGATTATGTCTTAAAATAGCGTTCTTTTTTCTGTTATCTGTGCTTAGCATGTCAGAAAACATGGGAACAAGAAATGGGTCTATGGGGTTTTTGTGTTACCTTTAGAGAAACAAAAGACATTGGAATTTATGATGTTTTTCTTTGTTTTAAAGTGACATTTGGTCCCCACATTGTTGTTTGTATGTAGATTATATATATGACTGTGCAGATAGATAAATTCATATATAGTAATTTATTATTATTAAATAATTAATGAACTGAAAGTGGTTGTTTTGGATGTAGCATTGTTAATTGTTGAGTATTGATTATCTTTTTATTTTTTATATTGTTGATATGAATAGATTGAAGAAAAGAGTGGTGACTACCTGCCAATGTATATCCATATTGGTGGTAGTTTTAAACGCGACAACAATGGTAATCTTAGATATGTTGATGAGGAGTGTGATACATAGCAAGTAAATCCAGACTTGTTAACAGTTTGGGAGTTTTATGAGAAAGTTAGAATCAGTAAACATGATGTTGAGTTGGTGGAAAGTATTTTTTATCTTGAACCAAACAAATCACTAGATGATGGTTTAAAGCAAATTATTGGAGATGACACAGTTAGGGAAGTGTTCCATGTGATGAAGGGACGTGGTGAAGTTCATAAACATGTGCATCACATCCTTAACTTTGCTGAAATTGTTCATGTATCTGCTATTTTAATGCTCCCAGCACTTGGTGATCCTTAAGAACCTATTGATGGGGTTTGCAGTGATATTGGTGGGAGTAGGGTCAATGAGGATGAGACATTTAATGAGGTTGGTGAGAGGAGGGACAATAATAGTGATGAACATGATGGAATATTTAATGAAACTGGTAGTTATAGGAGCACAGAACATGTGGACCACATTGTTGTTGGTAGCGATGTCCAAAATGATTGTTGCTCTCAACAACCTGATATAAATAATGGTGAAGAACTTGAGGAAGATTAGTATGAGCATGGGCTTGAGGATTTTCCTGAGTTGTTTGACAATGAAGATGAGGAGACTATTTTAGCAAGGGATAATTTGAGGCATTAACGGGCGACTCAACAAGATGCTGGTATTACTTTTATTTTCTAAATAGTGTTCTCCATTTAGTTTACTTTTATTTTCTAAATAGTGTTATCCCTTTAGTTTTTAAGCATAATTTACATTTACAATTGGTGTTAATGAACATTTGTTTTTATTATAGGTAATACAAACATTGTTATTCAAGCTGAGGATGATGCAGAAATACACTCTAATGATGAAGTAAGTTACCTATTCACAAGTGATGAAAAGGATAGTGAAGCAAAACATGGTATCATAAGAAAAGCAAGGCATCATTTCTTTGATGAAAGCGAAGGCAACCAAGAAATTGAGCTTGGTATGATATTTCTTAATAAGAAACAATTCAAGAAAGCTATGGGTCAATTGAGCATTAGGGAAGGGAGAGAGATTACATGGAAAAAAATGATAAGCTCCAAACGAGGGCAGTGTGCAAGAATGAGAAATGTGACTGGAAGATTATATTGGCAATAGACACTCCTACACATTCTTGGATGGTAAAAAGTTTCCATAATGGTCACACATGTTTGAGGATTGTTACAAACAAAGTTTGCACATCGTCTATTGATGCTGATCATCTAGGTAACACAAGAGGAGCATCTTCTTTGCGTATGAAGAAGGGAGATATTTTTGAGGCAATTGGAGATGATTTAGGTGTGGAGTTGACACTTGTGCAATGCAAGAAGACAAAGGATAAGTGGAAGAAGAAATTTGAAAGTGTTCCTAATGCTGAATATAGCAGGTTATTCGACTACGCAAATGAGCTCAAGTCAAAAGATCCAAAAGCAAACATTGGGCTTTATTGTTCTAGACAAACAACAGATACAATTCCTACATTCTTGAGGATGTATGTCTGTTTTAGTGCGTTGAAGAAGGGATTCCTTGCTGAATGCAAACATGTAATAGGAGTTGATGGTGCATTCTTCGAAGGTGCCTACAAAGGAGAGTTGTTAATTGCTGTTGGATAAGATGTAAACAATCAAATGTACCCAATAGCATGGGCTGTAGTGGAGGTTGAGAAAAGGTAGACATGGGAATGGTTTTTTGAAGAACTATGGAAAGATTTGTTTATGGGCAATGGAAGCAAGTTTTGCATTATGTCTAACCAACAAAAGGTAAATGCCAACATGTTTTATGACTTGTTTAGCATTATAAGCAATTTGGTCCTCTAACACTTTATGTTCATGTGATTTAGGGACTTATTAAGGCTGTGGAGAAGCTCTTCCCATATGCTGAACACAGGTTCTGTGCTAGACATAAGTACAACATTTTAGGAAGCAGCATAAGGGTGAGGAGTTATAAAAGGCATTTTACAAGTGTGTTAAGGCATGAACAATACTTGAGTTTGACAAAGCTATAGATGAATTGACATCATTGAAACATTTTCCAAGGGAAACTATGTTAAACAAAAACTCAAAGCATTGGTGTAGAGTGTTCTTCCAAATAGAGACAATTAGATATAGTTCATAATAACATGTGTGAGGTTTTTAATGGATTGTTACTTAAATTAAGAGATAAGGCTATTGTCTCATTGCATCAAAATTTGAGGACATCTTGTGGTCAAAGGACAGTGAGAAGAAGAGAATTTGGGGATAGAAAGTTTATTGATGATTTTGGTCTAAGAACATGAGGAAAGTTGGTAGCAAATATGAGGGAAAGCAAAAGGTGCAAATTCTTGTGGCCAAGGAGTAACTGTTATGAAGTTCAAGAGAATGGTCAGGATGTATACATGGTTAATGTGGATGAAAAAAAGTGCACATGTAGGGAATGGGATCTCATTGGAATCCCTTGTAGGCATGCCATAGTAGCAATTAACGCTAAGAAGGAAAAAGAAGAAGATTATGTATCAAATTGGTATAGGAAGGCAAAGTTTAAAACTGCTTATGAGTATGTATTACTTGTAACTGAAGGGATGAATTAGTGGCAGAAAACTGAAATGCCACCTATTCAACCCTCACCAGCCAAGAAAACGCTAAGAAGGCTAAAGGAAGAGGGTTATGGAAGAATAGGAAGGGCACACTAACATGAGTCGAAAAGGGAGACAAATGACCTGTCAAAAGTTTTTCCAAAAAGGACATAATTCAAGAAAATGCAAAGCACAAGGACCCACAACTGTAAGTTTTAATTTCAATGTACATAACTTTATGTGACAACAGGTTTAATTGAGGTATATTTTTAACTTGTTGTAGGACCCTCAACATGAAAATGCTAATGCAAGTGAAGAGCAAGTTCCTGTTGAATTCCCAACATCCCACAACAATCATTGAAAATGATGTAACTTTTGCAATTTTTTTTTATTGTTTAGGGATATGCTCGTACAAACTTTTGGACTATTGTGTAATAAACCATACACCATTTTTTTTCAGGATTCTCAAATTCCTTTGAGTCAAGTGGTGAACCCAACTCTTGTCAATGATCCAATGTGTGTGCAGAATCAGAATGAAGAGAATACCAATCTAGCAACTGTCTAGCAACAAAAAAATAAAGTTTAGACACCTACAAAAAGGCAAAACAAGAAGGTTAGTCCCTAAAAAATATAGTTAATGCACACTTTGATTTATCTAAGGTTAAATTGATTATTTATGTAAAATTTATTAGGGGCAAAGGAGTTCAGAATCAGCAACTAGGAATCCCCCTATAGGTGCATCACATGCCATTGTAGTGACTCCGCAGCAACCTAGAAAAAGAATGAAGACATTTGCAAGAGAACCACCAAGATCAGTAATGGATAAGGCAAAAAGTGTTGGTAATAGGTCAAACCAATAAAAAGGGAAGTGTTGCAATATGTTTGATACTGGATAGTTGGTAGTGTATTTTGCTCTGTGCCTGTGTTTGGTCAACTACCAAAACTCTTGTGTTGAAACTTGAGGACATGTGTTGCTTAGTATGCTTTACAATTGATGGGTAAGTTGGATTTTTGGTAATATGAGATAGTCGATTAGCAAGCTAGTTTGTGGTGTATGCTTGATACTTAACATGTCAAATGAGAGATTTTTTGTGTAGGTGTAAGCATTGCCTAAAACTTTGTATTATGTGTATCTAATTTTTGTTTTTTGGTAATTTTTGTGTGTATTGATTGTTTGGTTTTATGCACTTGCTACCCAGCATTTGGAAACTATGCATTAAATTTCCCTAATTTCTAAAATGAATGTTGAACTCACTGGAAAACTCACTGGAAAACTCACTAGAAAACATACCATACACGTTGCAGCAACCACATTTCATCACATTTCTAGAAAAGAACACTTTTGGAGATGAGATGAAACTCACAAAATATCATTACCATCTAGTTTTAGTACATACAACATTCTACCTCTCATTCATTTCTTAAGTACAAAACAACCCAGCAATTACTGCCATAACAATAAAAAACACCAAGCAAACAAGTTAACTGAGTATGGCTGCTTGGGAGCTTCTCATCTCTACCTTCTTCACTTTCTTCTCCAGCATCCTTATCTTTCTATCCATTAATCTACTTTGTCTCTTCATGAGTTCATTTTCCTACAATAGTTTGGCATTTTCCTTCATCAAATCTTCCTTTTCTTGCATCAAGTTTCCTTTTTCCAACTTCAACTTGCCATTCTCTTTCTCAATTCTTTCTTTCTCCTTCATATTTCTGGATTCCCTATCTTTATATATCAATAGCAAATCCCTAGCTCTTTCCTCGATTCTTTCCTCACCAGGTAGGAAATAGAAATATGGGCATTGACCATAATACAATCAACTGTTAAATCAAACCCTAAATAAACTTAAAACCATGAACAAAATCCTAAAAATCTACTTTTTATCTTACTGTTATTTTCAGACAACAACAAAACCTCATTCCCATATTTTGGTAAGTGAATGCGGTTTAGACAGTAGGAAGTAACCCATAATCGCACCTAAACTCTCTAAATCCGATCGAACCCACACTTTGTGAAGAAGAACTAGCCTCCATAAATCTTGCTGGGGATTATGTTTGGTGAAGAGAGAAGAAAAAGGATTATAGGGTTTCACAGGTCATGGAAGAGAGAGAAAGACAAAGAGAGAGTTTGTTGTGGGTGGGGAACTCGATTGAAACTGAAAAAAAAAAATATAATATAAATCTCATGTAGGCCCCACAAAAAGTGAATCTAAAAAGGGGAGTAATCTGACGTGTAAAAAACATGCCACGATGGCAAAATTTTCTTCGTTGGACTTACCCGTCGTTAAGATTCAAAAAAGCCAATGATTTTGTAGCATTTTAACGTGCCACATGTTCACTTAACTGACGGAAATATAATTTTGGTATCGAAAATGAAAATTTAGGGATAATTTTGATATTTTTTAAAGTTGAGGGACAATTTTGATACTAAAGTGAAAAGTTGAGGAACTAAAATGGTATTTAAACCAAAACTATAAGTACATCTTTCTTTTAAATATTATATATTATTTTAACTTTTGATTCAAATAAAAAAGTGTTCCCAACCTTTTCAAAATTAATGTAGAAGCTAATCTTACTATTAGTTAC